TACTGAATCGTGCACTTACGATGGGTACACTTCACAGTATATAAATCATATCTCAATAAAGCTGTTGGTTAAAACAAAATTTTTTCAAGGATGAGTAGGAGTTTAGCAGATAAAGAAGTCAGGGTGGGAAAGAAGAAAGGCAGGCCCTGGAACAACCCAGCCCCACAGTCCCACCTGCAACCACTGTCCCCACTCCCTCCCAGAGGTCACTTTAGACCATGAATCTCCCAGAGGCCCCTGGCCCTAGGCCAGGGAAGGAAGTCGCTCCCCTCTGCTGCACCTGTCATGCTCCCCGGGGCCTGCCTGATGCTCTCACCACCCCAAGGCCAAGATCGCTGTCACCTGGGGCAGGGATGAGGCTATGTCCAGCTTTCCGAGAGCCGGCTCGGAGCAAGGCGCACAGCAGGTCTTCAGAGGAGCACTTACTGGGGAAGAGAATGAACCTGGGGGGCGGGGCGGGGTGGAGAGCGAGATGACGAAACCCGTTTTAAACACTGACCTGACCACAGCATGACAGCAGGGAAGGAACCGGAAGCCCCGCTACGGGCTAAGGGATGAGAGGCTTTGCTCCTGGGAAGAGGAGGCATGGGGATGGGCCGGAGCGGGAGGGGCTGGGCAAACGAGAACTGATGGGAACTGACCGACGAGGTGGGTGGAAAAAGAGAGGAAAGAGCACAAAACCACTCCTGGGATTTCTAGCTGTAACAAACGACTAGATGAGAGTCATCTGCCGTAGCAGGTAGCAGATGGGTTTCCGTGCCGGGGCGGGGGCGGGAGCAGGGCTCTGCCTGATGTGTTCTGGAAGACAGCACTGGGTCTGAGCGTTGGGAGAGCTCAGGCTGCTCACCTGTCAATGCATCTGGCATGGTGCCTGACTCAGGGGACAAGGGGAGATTTCGGTTAGAGCATCAGGGTATGGAGGCAATCAGGGAAGACTTCCACGAGGGGAACCACGCACCCCCAAAGACTTCTTCCTGTCTTCAGGATCACGGCAGCTCTATCCGTGGCATAAGCACTTAACAATCCTAAGTGTTTCTTAGCCAGAGTCAGAGACCCATCCCTTGCTCCTCAGACTTCTCATCTAATGAGGCGGGAGGGGCTGATGCCGGCACCCCTACCCCAGTCTCCTGGCTTCCTGCCACCGGGGTTGCATCTGAGTGCTAAGAAGAAACGAATACCCCAAAAACAGCGGTGGATTAGCAAGCGTGGGGAGTACGCTTGGCTTATAAAGGAACGTGAAAAATGACCCAAGAAGGCATCTTTGCTACCCTGATGCAGGCAGGGGAGGGATGCCACAGGAAGAGAGCCTGAGCGCTCTTGGAAGGTGTCTTTAGTTAGTCATGCCTCATAAATGCAGAGCTACGAAGCTTTGCCTTGGAAATTCAATTATATTTGAAATGACATGGCCAAGGTATGGCTCTCTTAAAGGATTTACTGCGCTTTTCAGATGATAAAAAAAAAAAAAATTCTTTAGATTCAGACCTTGCTCATCAGTGCCTAAGAAATGATCCACCTGTCAAACTGTATTTATTGATTACCTGAAATGATTCCATTAAAACCCGTGGTGCTAGATTCCAACCTCTTCGTGTGGTGAAAAGTGATTTGAAAGAAACATTTTCCCCCATAGGGCAAGTAGCACCAAGAGAGGCCCCCTAAGCCCACTCTGCTATCTCCATATACAATTATCCTCTGTCATCCCCTAATTAGAAACCCAACCCAAAGGGTCACATGAGATGAGCAGGTGCACAGCCTTACATGTGGGCATAAAAACACTAAAGAAACCCAATGAGACAGTGGGAGAATGGTCACAATTAAAGTCTATAGTGCCTCTTCCCCAAGCACAATGACATCAGGTGCTACATACTAGCAAAAGACACATAATCCCCCATCAAGTCTGGGCTGGCAACTCATAAATTGGAAGCATAATCCCACAACAAACAAGCATAATTTAGGGCTGACTGGAATGCTAAATTCTAATACAAACCTGCTCCCAATCTAGATAACATGTCAGCTGCCAAGTAGCCTACCCTTTGGTGCCAAATAAACTCTGGGGCTCCTGATTAGTATCCCGGATTATTGCTGGTTCGTAAATTGGTGCTTATGAACTTGGCACTTTACCTAACTCATGACTGGCAATACAAGGCCTTAGAACAAGTCTGGAAGAAGGACCAGAGAAGTAATGGGAACACAGACTGCCCCAGGCATGAACACTCAACATGGTATTTTATGTGAATGGAAGCCCTTGGAACTGTGCTCATGAGGCCCTGTAAGCAGTGGGCACAGCCCCCAAAGCAAGTACTACCACTTCACCTGGATGAAAATTCACAGGAGCTCCAGGTAGAAATGAAGCTAGGTAAGTTAGAGGCTCCATCTCGGGCGTGTGCGCCAGGGGAGTCCACTCCTGTCCTTGTATTTCTCATTCGACACAGCCCTGTGGCCAGAAGGGAGCATTTAGATAAATTCTGAAGGAATCTGTGCAAGTTCTTTATTTCTCTGAGAGTCCCTCTCTAGGAGGGCTTGTTGGAAATGAATGGATCGTCGGCTAGAGTTTGGGCAAATCTCTGTTCTTCTGGGGTTCTTCTGGGCACCTGATTCCCAAGGCCAAGTCTCCCAAATTATCGCATGTTGACATCTATTTTCCACCTTACACAAAGCATAAGAGTGGAACCCAAAGGGAGCAGGCAAGGCTAGATCTCGGCACTATATCCCACAGCGAACGAGAGGCAGAGCCCCGGGGCCAGCGAGAAGCTGGCACATTATCCAATAAAACCTCAAGAGCTCAGTAATTACAGGCACTTTCAAAAGTGAAACAGAAATAGATCTAGGACCAAAACACTGGTTTGCTTGAGACAAAGAGCTGGTTTTAACTAGGTGGGAGGAAAAAAAAAAAAACAGCCTTTGGTCTGTCTTTTGAGAAAGCCAGACGGATTTTTTTTAAATATCATTATTGAGTCCAATTACAGGGAAGAGAGTAGGATTCAGATGAAAAGCCCTTGCTCCTCTAGGGTATAAAATCATTTTATGAAATAGGCTACATTCTAAGTGTGCCCTTGCCATCAAATCCGAATGAAAACTTAGCTTATTCGGTTCCCCCAGCCCGCCATCACTGCAGAGATCTCAGGGCTCCTGTCCTGCTGGAAGACAAACCAGAGCTTTCTGCTCCTGTGTCCTAAAGCATGCAGAGTATTCCAGCTCCCCCGAGACCACCAGCGGGAGCACGTGACACTTGGAAAGCAGCCTGGCCCACCCCAGCCCCTGCCCATTCCATGCCAGCTCCATTTTGAGAGCCTCATGCACCTGTGAGGTCAGCTGCTCCCCTGGGTAAAGATTATTTGTTGTTCGGACTGGGAAGAGTCCTGAGATGAAGAAACCACAGAGATAGAGGGAAGGAACCACTGGCTCTGGCAGAAGGTGGCAGAGCAGCCAGGGCCAGCTGGCCCTGCTGGGTCTGAGCAAGCGCGATGGGGCCGTTGGCAGGATTCTCTCCAAAAGCGCACCGTGGCTAAGAGCTGTGTGCACGTTCGCTGCAGTTCAATGTTACGAGTAGGTTTCAACACTAAATATTTTAAAAACTAAGGTGTGGGACTAGGAGGCAGGATTGCAGGCAGACGCTCAGCCTCCGGCAAGAGGCTGACTGAAGGAAGCAGGCTGGGAGGGGTGGGTGGGGTCGCAGGGTGTCCAATGCGGAGGCCCAAGGCAGGACTCTGTCCTGGCAAACGCCTTCCTCTAGGGGGAACATGTACTGGCCCGGAGCAAAGGGGGCGGCCTTCCGCGTGACCAGGCCCAGTCAGGATGCCGCGGGAGCCCAAGATTTGTCCCTGCGGGGAGCGCCACGTTCACACCTTGGCTCTCAGATTCTTCGAACTGCGAGCTCGGAGACGAGGCACTTGTTGAGCGAAAGGGCTTCCTGACCCCCGCAGCCGCTGCCTTGGCCGGGAGAGGGGCACCAGCTCCCGCGCGGGAGCCTTCGGGATGGAGAAGGGTGGGAGCTGCGCGCTCCCGCGCACCCCAGTTGCGGCCGCCCGGGAGGTGCGGCGAGGAGGCGGGGCCCAGCAGCCGAAACTTTCTCGAATCTGGGTGCTTCGCGGTTAAGTTAGGGCCGAGAGAGAGGCACGAAACACGCGTAGGGGGCGGAATGTAAGAGCCCCACCCACGATAAAGAAAAAAACCCTATTTTTTAAAAAACAGACTCCAACACAATGAACGTAGCACATACCGTGTGCCAGGAGCTTGGTCAAGAGCTGTGTTTAGTACGTCCTCATTATAGCTGTCACGACAGACCTCGAGGGGGAAACTGTCCCCATTTGATAGAGAAGCAAATCGCGACCGGGCAAGGTGGAGCGTCTGGTCCAGATCACAGTGCGGGTCTCGGAGATGCCGGGGCTCCTACCTCGGGAACAGGGCTCTGTCCGTCGCCCCTCCGCCCGCGGAGGAAGGAGCGGATGGCCGACCTCTGGACCCTCTCCCCAGGCCAGAGCGAAAATGCGACCCACGTGGGCCGCGCGGACCTGCCCTCCGCCCCCTCCCCGCAGGGCTAGCCCGGGTTGTCCCCGAGGCCCGCGCTAGCCCCCGGAGATCCCAACTGTTCCCCCGGGCTCTGGAGCTCCTCACTGTGCGGGCCGTTGGCAACCCGGGCTCCGCACGCCGGGCTGGACCGCCCACGCCCACCCCGTCACTCCCGTCCCACGCACAGCCGCTCACACTGGACACCCGCCCGGCACCGGTCCCCACCAGCAACTGCGCTCCGACACACAGTCCCACAAACGCAGCCAAAATCTGCACACGCGGATCCCCTCGAGTACGCGCAATTCCAGGGCACACCACAGTCCTCACCCGCAACTCCCCAGCACGGAGAAACGGAGGCACCCCCTCCCCACACACACGCACGCACGCACATACACACACACGCACACAAACACACACGCAGAGAGCTCGATCGCAGCGGACGCTGGTGCACACGCCCGCGCTCCCCGCAGCTCCGCAGCCCGCCCCTTCCCTACCTGCTCCGGCGCAGGACGCGGGCCACCGGCTTCCCGAGCCC